ATATATATTATTTCTACTTTATAATTAGATTTTATTTTAGTATGATTAATTTATATAGTCAATAATACATATATTCCACTAGCCTGCTCCTTCATTGTGAATAAAAAAGCCTATATATTTCTTGTTATCGAAGCTATTTAAAAAGACAAAAAACAAAGTATTTAAAAGATTATTAATATATATAATATCTTAACGTGGTTTATTAGTACGTATATTATATCAGTACATGTATTATGATTTTTACATACAAAAAACGGCTATTGTAACCGTACACTTTCTTTATTTATTAGTATAATTTAATTTTTCCTTATATATATCATATTTATCTATATAAATAATATAAAAATGAATTAAAATAATAAAATCTTATAATAATAAAAAAGTTATTCAAAAAAATTAATTTTTATAACACAAAGTATAACATTCTTAAGCTACAATTAAGATATCTATAAAAAAAATCAAATTTTATAAATATTTCATTTTTATTATTCATAAAGAAACTTTTTCAGAGAAAAAATAATGATTAATGATTTAAATAAAAATATTAATAAAAAACTAATTTTAATATATTTTGAAATGATACATACACTAATATAATACACACACTAATAAACTACGTTATATATAATATTATAATATAGAATTAATAGTTTTATTCTTTGTATAGAATATCAATATAAATCTTATAATCTTTTAGAATTAAAAGAGGATATTATTATCAAATATATACTCAATATAAATTTGAAAGGTTTTTTATTTAAATTTAAGAATATAAAAGATATAATAAATCATATTCTCAAATTGAAAAGTATAAAAAATATTAAAAAGTTTTGGGTATATTAATTTGTAAAATATTAAATTAAATTAAAAATATGTTTTAATTGTATTTATAACTTTCAAAAAGCTTTTTATAAAAATTCTAAATTTATTAAAAATTAGTTTCGATTAATTACAAATATATAAGTGAAATATAATATTTTGAATGAAGATTTCTATAATTTTAATGAAATAGACTTTATAATAAGGATTATATATATAATAATTATTATTATTAATACTAAAAGATATAATAGAAGCAAATTAGTATAACTAGGTAATTAAGAATAGACTATAGTAATAATATATGGAAATAAAGAGGATGAAATTATTCTTTTATTTTTAATAGTTTAAAAACAAGTTTATCTTTTTAATTAATATATCGAAATAAATCTTTCTATAAAATAAATTATTAAATTTATATCTAATAAGTAAACAAATAATAAAATAGGTTTAAAATAATTGAAATATTTTGATAAATATATTAAGAATTAAAGAAAGAGTAAATATCAAATATTAATATTGAATAAGTATAAAAACTATAAATCAATAGCTTTTTAAATATACTATAAAAAGAATAATATTATATATTTATGTTTACTATTATATTCAAGTTATTTAACTTAATTATTTGATATTAACTATTTTAATAATCTAAAACGTTTATATAATAATTAAATTAATAGATTTATTAAGATATATATTAATTATATTTTGAAGATTAAATTCTTTATAGCTTTTAAAACTATATATAAAGAATTAATTACTTTTTAAAATATAAAATTAAAATTTTAAAGAATAGATTTAATTCTATTTAATTTTGAAATTGTATTCTCGAAATTAGATATTCAAATTCATATATTTACCCCCCCCTTTTTCAATCTAAATTAATAAATCTCTCAAACTCCTTACAATCTAATAGAAGCTCTTTTTCAATTAATATTAGTTAAATCTCGAATAACTTGTTATTAATCAAGCTCCCTTATATCTATATTCGAGATTATACTAACTCTAATTAAAAGTATAAAAAGATTAGCTTATAAAAATACATTTTTAATTATAAAGATTTATATATTTTAAAAGACAAATGAAATATTAAGTAAATATTAATATATATAAAAAATCTAATTATATTAAAAAGAAATATTTATTAAATAAAAGATTGATATTTAAATTTAATATAATAAATATCAAAAAGAAGGGAGTTTTAATGGGGAAGTATTTTTTAATTGATATTATAATAAATATAAAAGAATAAATTATAATATAAGAATCTATCAAAATAATATAATAAATTCTAAATTATTAGATTCTTAATAGTTTTAATTAATTGATTCAATTATTATTAAATAATATAGATTTGAAAGTGTAAATTGAGATGAAAGTGGGCTACATGCTAATATAGGCTATATACTAATAAACTACGTTATCGATGTGAATTAGATAAATAATAAAACTAATTAAAAAAGTATTTCTCGTAGGGTAGTAATATTCTATAATTAATTAATCTTATAAATAAATAAGAAGTAGATATTTATAGCTATATTTAAGATAAAAGCTAAGTATGTTTTTATTTATTTATTTATTTATTTATTAATTTACATCCGAAGAACAAACTATAAGGACTTGTTACAACCTCTCAAGGAGTATTAAAAATGAACTAAGTTAATAGTTTTATATATATATAATTATTAGCTTAATTAAATGTTTTATTCTTTTATAATTATAATGCTAATAAAAAGTAAGTAATACTATAAGTACTATTTATTACTTTTATTAGTAAATTCAAACTGTTTAGTTTACTTTATACTAAAAAGTTCAAAAATCATTTGAAACCTTTATAAAAAGGTAAAGGTTATAGATTGATAAAGGCCAAAGTAATTAGATTGTTGAAGGCCAAAGTGATTATAGATTATTACAAGTAGATAATTAGTATTATCGAAAAAGAAAGATATATTATAATTGCTCGAATATAAATGGAATTACTTTTTATAAAAATAAAAAGATGAAATAATAATGAAATAAAGACTTCTTTATATTAAGATTAAAGAATTAAGAAGAAAGTATAATATTCTTTTTTAATTGTATACAAATAATAAATTATAGATTTATAAATAATTAGACTTTGAAAAGATAAATATCGATTAAAATATGGTTCTAAATAGAAATAAGCATGAATTACTTTACTACTAAGCTAGTCACTCTTTACGGAGAATAATAATCTTTTTGTTAAGTATGTTTTTATAATTATATTTATTAAACAAGAGTAATAAGTAATTTAATTCTTTAAAGACTTTAAACAATCAAAATACATTAAGAATAATAATAAAATTTAAATACTTAAAAAAAATTAAAAAACATTAATATTAATTAAAATTTTCAATAAAAACTTGAAACGTATAATAATGTTATGAACAACGCAATATAGACATAGGACTGAAATACTAAGTCACATGGTTGACTCAGTCTACCTCAGCGGGATAGACACTGAGCCATAAAAGTACAAACAAATCAGTACTAAGCTATACTGATCACATTAAGCAAGAAGGTTTATATAAGGGAATGAATTTCATTATAATATAAAGCTTTATGTTTAAAAACAATTATTAATTTTATTACTATAATTATAAGAATTGTAATCAATTATAATCTTATTGAATTCCTATTTAAAGTTTAATCTAAACCATCTTAAAAGATTTCTAGACACTTTCATATAACCCTAAAGGCAGCTTCCATAACAAATAAGTCGAATACTCTACTTTCGAGCCACCCTCCTTTTAGGTCATTTTTTATATTAAAAATGAAATTTTTAATTTTCTTATTTATAGATAGAATTTATTGAAAATTTATTTATATATAATTCAAATCGTTTTGAATTTAATCTGAAATTTTTAGATTTTTAGGATTTTTCTATATTGAGATCTAGAGCTTCAAAATATCGATTTTTTAATTTGTATAGGAATTACATATAAATTTAAAACTTTTACAAAATCTTTAATAAATTTTTAATAAAAATTATTAAAAATAAACTAAAAAGTTTTATTATAAGTTTATAAAATATTTATTTTGAAGGATTTAGAAAAAAAAAGAAAATTTCCTATAAATAGATATTTAAAAGAATACCCTTAAAATTACAGGGATTATTTATACTACTCTAAACTCATTATATACTATATCTTTATATCTGTTAATTTTTTTGAATTTTTTTTTTGAATTTCTATATAAATTTAAATTCAAAACTTTCAAAAAGATATATAGTTTTCTTTTAATAATTATTATTAAAAAGTTATTAAAGATTTTATAAAAGTTTTAAATTTATATGTAATTCCTATACAAATTAAAAAATCGATATTTTGAAGCTCTAGATCTCAATACAAAAAAATCCTAAAAATCTAAAAATTTCAGAATAAGCCTAAAATGGCTTAAATTATATATATTCAAATTTTTATTAAATTAGATTATATATTGATAAAGATATTAATAAGCCAAAAAAGCGATTTTTAATATAAAAGGGTAGCCCAAAACAAAGGTGGCCCGAAAGTAGAGTGATCGATTTATAAAAGAGCGAATTATATTAGCTATATTCCTCAAAATCTAAAACCTAAAAATACCTTCCTCCTTATCTCTTTCATTCTATATTTAAACAATGAAGAGGGGGGAAAAGAATGAATCGAATTGAAAGTTGTATATAAGCAGGGAATAATAAGTTTTTAGATATTAAATGAAAAGATTATACAGAAGACAAGAATATTATGTATGATATATCCGAGGTTGTTTCAACGGTCCACCATACGAGCGGACCACCCATCAATAGGATCAGTACCGATGCACTTGCATGAGGCGCCAGGTTTAAAAAGAGTCAATCAAATGTGAATATCCAAGCTTTACTCTCAACAGCATAACTCGACAAAGTAAGGTTTACACGTATCTCATTGTTTTACTCTGTCATTTAAATTTGATCCATTTGAAGGGTCCAAAAACTTCATAATCTTTGACCATGTTTTGCACATTATTGAGAATCTGATAATTTTGAGGTCACTATGTTAAGGCTTGATCACTGTCAACTCGTGTACCATATGAAATCCTGTGATGATCTTTCCACTTCACAACCCAATCCATCCGCAAAAAGCCCCCCTATCTAGCACTTGTCATTGGCGAGTATTGTCAATTCATGAGGAATCTTCCTATTCTTCCGACTCGGAAGTAGCTTCTCTGTTCCAACCCGCAAACTCCTTTTTGTATAGCCGCTTGTTCCGCTGTAGATTCTTTTGAATCTTCGCGGGAAGCACAATCTTGAATTGTATCTCTGGCAAATCCCACATCAATTTCCCAGCTTTAAGATCTTCGACTCTGATAATATCCATCATATGTTGTGTCAATTTTCTGATATGTTTTTGTGTGAAATACGAGGCGTTGGGTTTTGGTTTTGTCCACTTCGTTTTTTCCTGCTCAAGAATCGGGCGATCAGGGTGATAGAATCGGCACGCATCTTGGACATCGATTAATTTATCCATGTAGACAAGATTTGCTCTATCTTCTTTCGACATCTTTACGCCCTGTGTTTCTCTCCAATAAGGAGATGGAATATGTTGATCTACCACAATGGTAAGCGTCTTGAGGTTGCGAAATCCACGCTCCAGACATTGGGCCAACCACTCCGCATGAGCGTCCCAGTACAAAGTCCATTCGTCGGAAGTCAATTTGATAGCCAGGTTCTCGATTCTCAAGAAATCGGGATCATGCACCAGCCGGGAAACTCCTGTCGTGATTGATAAAGGGGCGCCCGCGAGATTATCGAGGCGTCGGGATATTTCGTCATTTTCAGCATTGTATCTGGGACGAAATGTCTCCGGCGTGATGAAGAGTGTATCTTCCTCGAAATTAAAGTATGTCTGTGGGAGTGAGACTGAACCTGGTCCTTGCATGGCGGTAGGGACTCGCAATGTTTGCGGGTTGTCAGCATAGCATTGGAATACTCGTGGATACCATTTCGATGCGACTTCATGCGATTCACGGCATGCGAGTAGGAGTGCTGGGATCGAAGTGTTGGATTTAAAGCCCCATAATCTGTTGTATGTGATCGGATTTTCGTCGCCGTTCTCTACGTCGTCAGACTGATGAGGAGCTTGGGGAAATTGAGTCACATTCCATTCTTCTTTGATGGTAGATCTTTCGAGTAGATTAAGTTCGATGATTCGACCGGCTGGCCTTGCCAATTCCCAGATTGCAAGACGGAGCTCGAGTGGGAGTTTTCGAAAGGATGTGAATGTTTTGCCGATTTTGGTAGACATTGTAAGAATTTTTGGAAGTTTAGTTGATTGATTTGCCAATGAAGTTGATATTTATGATTGTGAGATATCAAGATCAGATGCAGATGAAATAGAGGATTGATGGAAGAGAGAGACCCTTATACGTAAAAGAAGAAATGAAGTGTACTACAGCACTGCATATCAAATCACTATATGCCGTATGAATTCCAAAGAATCATTAGCCGTAGGCTGAAGGGTAAGATAGCAGATATGAACATGTAAGCCGTATGAACCGTACGGGCCACAACAGCTTAGAAAATTGATGATGACCTGTATTGTATCGTTCGAAGCCCAGCCAAATCAACCAGGACAGGCCATGATACAGATGGTACAGCACTTATCGTGATCAAGCAGATTTGCAAAATCAATTCCACACTTGCCTACAGCTAATATTTAGCCTCTTACCGTTCATGTAACCCCTCCATCGTTCATACTCTTTCGGTTCTTTCCCTTCTTCCGTAGATCCTACAGGCCATGTTTCCAAACAAGGTGGACAAGTGCCTGCCATAATCTTGGGCATAGCATGCCAAGCCCATCTCGTCTCTCCACCCATTTGTATCACATCGCCACTCCTGACCCGTATACAGACCAAGTCTTGTTCCCTGTTATCGATGTGTTCCTCTCCTTTTCTTACATCTCTACTAATAACAAATAGCCCATCGCATCCGAGCGTGAAGCTCGCTAGGCCTCTCTCACATTCCTCGGAAACATCTCTGTGCACCGGCATGAAATCTTTAGTCGAGTACATAAGGACAACTCCTGATTCTGGAGTGAAGGCATTTTGAAATAATGTGGTAACAAGACGAGAAATATCAGATGGGAATGGAGTTGGAGAAGAAGATGGGTAAGCTCGGGTGTTCCAATCATATTGAGAGCCCAGTGTTAACCACCTGAATTTTTTCTGCAGAGCTTGTGCAGCATTGAGTGGCTTATGTTTTGAGGTTGGATTTTTAGGAGTAAAGACTTGGTTCTTGGCTTGGTGAGGATAAGTGAAGAAGGAAGAGTGAGGTGGAGGGTAGGGTATATCATAATCATCGTGAAAGTTCGTCTTGTGCAGAGGATTCGACAGTTCACGGTGGAGAAGTCGGGACACAAATAGAGACTGGGTCTCTGGTGGAAGAAGTGTAGGAAATAGTCTCAATCCTGTATAGAAAGTTAGCTACTATTTTTCTCCATAAGTATTTGAGTCAAGCATACCCGGGAATCCACTGTGCTCATAAATAGTGCATGCCGCAGGAAGGCTAGAATTGCATTCGGCCTCAGTGTTCATGAATTCCTTTTGCGCTTTAGCAATTAATTCCGAGGGAACTACACCCACCGGACTCAACTTCTCCTGCTGCTCGGGAGTCAAGCCACGAGTGAAATCCACAATCTCGAGATCATCGTTCACTGCCGCATCACTCATCCTCTGATACTTTTTGTAAGCATCACAGATTGCCTGTGGGGGCATAGCATGTGTATCATGACCATGATGACCCTACTAGAATGTTAGAGCCATCAAGCAAATTCCAGGCCAGACCTACATGACTTGGACCATCCATAGTCACGTGTGGGGTGGTCCTTTCTCTCGATCGGTACAGCTGGCCACTACAACTTTTGCTCTTTCTTAAATTGCCTATCCTCAGGGCTTTTCTTGCTGGAGCAACTTTTCGGCAAAGATTCATGGGCTGTCTGTTGTTTTGGTATGATGCTTCTTTCTACATCGAAGGGGTAAAAATCTTTGATGTTCCTGTATCAAGCGGTGCGGCCGCTAGCCTCAAGCTAGACCATTTCAAGTAAGCGTCTTCTCACATAATTAACTTCAGTCTCTCCTCTCTCCTCCTAATTGTCTCCATCAAGTGTCAATACCCCGTGATTGCGATTTCAACCCTGATCTTCCCTACGATTATTGTGTCTCTTCAAGCCCTGCAAACAGCTATGCTGTAAGGTTATTGATTTCAACAACAGCCACGGTATTGTTTCATTTCAATCAGGGCATATCACCTTCTCGGCAAAGTCAATGGCATACCCATTGTAATGCCATTGGCAATATGGTTATCTAAAATATTCTACATATATACCTGGCATAGAGTTCTGATACTCCATCCAACTCAGATCACACCATATCCCCCTTACCCCCGCATCTGATCAACTTCGCTCGTTCTTCCATCCCTTCAATTCCCAGCCGGATTCTTTCCATTTCCCTTTGATAATTAACCCGGGGTGAAATATCGTCATAATTGTGGTAGCCATTATCATAACTGCTCCCTCGAGGATCATGAAAGGCATCTCTTCATTGGCAAGCTTCGACTGAAATCCTTTAGCAAGTTCGGCCACCCGAAATATTGAACGAATAAGAATGAGGACAGTTGCCACAGTGAGACCTGCAAGCACACCAGGTTGTGAGATTAGTCTCTAATCTAAGGCAGAAGTTTGAAGAGGATTCATGAGGGAATTGTAAGTCGGATGTTCGGAACGATGACGACCATGAAATATTAAAGCGGTTAAAGAACGGAAAATTGGAATTCAACATACCATAGCAGAGATACCTCATTTGACTTTCGCTTCCCCCTATTTTACTCTCACCTGCCGCCCAGTTTGCTGCTTGCCTTCGAGTTCTCTCCCCTCTTACTTTGAAGGAATACTCTACAACTACAATCATGTATAGTATCAAGCCAAATAATTGAAAGCTCAGCCCTGCGACCAAGATATTTGTCCCACTGTTCATCCCGGCTCCTGTCGCAGCGGTGTCTGCAATCGCTCCGCCAGCTGCTTGGAGAATAAGTGCGATCCAGTCGGCAGCCATGAAAATGATAGAGATGACCTTGGGGCTAAATCTCGACAAATGTGGCCCGTAGTGGACAATTACGCGAGAATATGTCATATATATTGATGCTGTAAAGAAAACGGGCGCGATTGTCACGCATATCAAGTATCTACCTGATAGTCAGCAAGATGCACCCTGTGGTTATAACTGAAAGACACACATTAAGAATGGATCCGAAGCAAAAGGATCATAATGCATCTGAACTCTGCCAAGATAGCCAATTATCTCGAGGACAAGTCCGGTGAACATGCAGCACGAAAAACTCCATGCTTTCCAACGACATAGCTGGATGATGTGAATGATGAGAAGTGCAGCAAATATGCCGAGGTAGAATACATTTCCAAAAAGAGTAGGCTGGTAATGTACCATTCCATATTCGAGTGGACAAGTTCCCAGTTTACAAACATTTACAACAGGCATATCGAGTTGATTCTGGGGCTCTATGGCAAGGCGTGTTGTTTAGCAAGTGTTTTTCAATGTCTGGTAAAGAAGTTGAAAATGTAAACGCAAAGATGGTGGGTATAATTCCTTGATTGCAGCATCTAAAGTAAGAAGTTATTTATACATGATTCACCACGATTTGAAAGTATCTAGTAGAGCTGTGATGTGAATCTTTTATTTCCGAGTTCACAACGAATAAATAGGATGGGGTATGTGACAAAGCGCCACATTATTGGCCCTTTGGATGGCTCGGAGACTTCTCACGAATCAAAGACTCTGATTTTACTCTCGGTGAGAGGTTATTGTGTTACTGCATTACAAACCATTGGCTTCTGACACACGACAGGGCCCTTACGAGCGACATGGGTGGTAGGGCCGTTACGATTAATTAGATTAGCGATGCATCATGCAATCCATCGTACCCTTCAACGACGGACTTTCCTCGCGGATTATTATTCTCAACAAACTAATAAGATATGTGACGGTCGGTGTAAGGATCATGGTCACCATCATGGATCAGACAAAGAATTATGGCACACGCAACTAGCGTGAAGACAAAGTATGTTTCTATTACTATGCGTTTTTACTGATAGTAAGATGATTCTCGCCTCAAAAGAGGGAACTCAAATAGCTTACGTGTGTGTGTGCTTCTGGCATATCCGTTAGAAACCCAACCATCTAGTCTCAAAATCCTATCCCTTTGCCATAATGCATAGACAGGGTGACCTCGTCCCATTCTCCGATTTCTCTGCATTACCTCAAAACATCTCCACTCAAGTCTCTTATCCCAAAAACCAACATCATCGTGATACATAGCCTTCCCCTCTCTGCACCATCCCCTAAGATACCATACAACCGCCAGCACTGCTCTTCTTCTCTTTCTTCTTTTCTTCTTTCTGCTTTTTCTTCTCGCAGCTCTTGCACTTGTCATCTTTCTTTGGTTTCGACACATCAGTCTTGATCATATCAGCTTTTGGATGACTCAAAACACTATCATCGACTTTATATCCCCAATTTAGTGGGTTGGGGTCGCCTTTTCTCCTAATAATGCCCTTCACGTTTCCAGATTTATCAGTTCGCCAATCTGCAGGCATTTTGGGCGGTTTGATATGTTTGATTTGTTTGTCTGGTTGAATCTATTGGGCCTGGCACAGGTTCGCTCGGTTGAATGTGATTCGTTGACTTTGATTTGCGGAAGTAGTTCTCGTTCTTGTTTGATGTGAGTTGGTTCGGTACTGAACTGATGTTGTAATTTTACGTCTGTTGTTTCTCTTTCTAGTATTTTGTCAGGTTATCTGTTGCGGTGGATGATTTTATAGTCTGTGTTATGTTGAGAAGATCGTGAAGGCTTATATGGTTATCTGTGAATCAAATCGAATTCACAACATATACATGCTATTTTCCACTTGGCCGTAGAGAATATATGGGTAATGTTGCCGTATCAGGCCTGATTCAGAAAAGCCGTATACACAGCTCTACCATTTTTCGCTAGATGATATTGTTGTGAACATGCACTTTTAGTGAAGTGATTATGAATGATAGTTATCGGTTATGGTCTGAAGGGTTGGAATTGCATGCAATCCATTCTACGGTACCTGCCCCTTCTCTCCATAACAATTTTTAATGCGAGCTATGAGCAGGCTTTTGCGATAAACTTCGTTCATATTCCAGGTCAATTTCATTTGAGATTCTTGTATACTATCCAAGTTCCGGATACTATATCTGTTGAAGAATACATAGGATAGTGTTCTCAATGTGTTACAACGATCACAAAGTTCAACCTTATAATGGCGGATTGAGATATCTCATTATGCATGCTGTAATCAGAAAATAGTATATCTCGTCGAAAATTGAAAGGATGTTTGTGTAGGCTGTACCGTAGAAGTTCGAGCATTCAAAAGACCACGGTGAGCTTCGAGCTCCCTAATGAGTGTTCTATAGCGCACAAAAGCCTACCTAGGTTTTACGAGATTGATACAAAGCGAGTTGTTCTATGATACAAAGGGGTTTCATGGCATTGCAGAATTTTGAAGCCACTTGCTAATACCATATCACATTTCTGATAGTATCAGGATGCATTTGAGTTAGTATCATATCATAAATAATATCAAATATAAGCTCCACTTTTTATCTGATTCCAGAATTGCTATATCACTCCTACTGTCAATCCACCGTAATTTGAAGCCGAAAACTTTAGCTTCTCTTGACGCTTTCTCTCTTTCTCTTTTTCGCAACAGGTCCCTCTTCCTCCGAATATTCCTCACCCTCTAGATCAGCCTCTTCTGCAAGTTGTTCTTCTCCTTCTTCGTCAAACTCGCTATCCCTCTCTTGATGGGCTGGATCAACTGATGGCTGGGGCATTTGCCACTCATATGTGTACATGTGTGCAAGATTGTGATGAATTTTAACTCTTGATTTGGAAGAAAATCTCAGTTCGCAGTTGGGACATAGGTAGGGAAGCTTGCCATAGTTTCGCTTGATTGTTGGAAGATTGTTGGTCTTCTTGGCCCATTTGTTGAATTCTTCAAGAGGCTTAGCAGCAGTCGATGCGAGGGGATCCAAATGAACAAATGTTGACCCAATATTTTCGGTAGATACCCAATTAGTTTCCGTTTTCTTATTGCCATCAAACTATCTCATCGAGAGAATAGCGTCGCACTTCTTGGAGTATTCCTTATACCACTCGCTTGTTTCTTCGTCACCGTCTAAGACAGCCTGAATTCGGGAAACTCTTGGTGTCATAGTAACACCATTCTCCTCCCAGCTCCACAGCTGCACAAATAAGTCTGCCGTGGGTATCTTCAAAGATGGATTAATGCGCTTCATATTAACCTTATCATGAGCTTCTAATCTTGCCAAAAACTCCATCTGATTCCTCAAGGTTCCGAAAGCCGCAATTGCTACTGGATGTGCTTCTGGCAGGCTGCTGCGAACCCCTTTGATTGTTCGAAGGACTTTTGGCGTCGAGCGACGGAGCAGAGCGGGTGTTTCGCGGATGACTGGTTTCTTAGGGTAGCATACGGCCACTAACCTACTTTGAGTATAGAGTACGGGGTCCATTATATGGGTTTTGTCTGGCAGGTATGCATACCGCAGACGCTTAGACTCGCCCATGGGAATTGGTCCCAAACTGATATGTGGATGAACCGCCTTGAATACTAATGCAGTCATCGGCCCCATTGTCGCATATATCCGAAGCGAAGATATAAATGTCCGGCCAGGCCAGTAGCTCTCGGGTATATTTGACAATACTAATAGCACTGTCCACATTGCTGAGTCGTCATTTCCATCGATATGTAGAGCGCCGAAATTACCAAGGCTCATCTCTAAAGAAGCAATCTCTACCCCGGAGTAATTGTATTGGACAGTTGCTAGTGATAGTCAGCGATATTCAAAGAAGTTGATAGACGAAGTGTGGAACTTACAGAAGAATTTGTTATCTTCATGCCCGAACGTAACAGGGATAGCAGACTCTGCCTGTTTGGCAAGGCGGTCCAACACTTCTTTAGGCGCGCAATTTGCTAGAAGACGGCCAGCAGCTATCGCGACCAGCTGATTGAGTTTTCCAGTGAATTCGGCATGTTCAATTATCGCTGCGTTTACCGGCGCGGCACAGATCGCGTCCTGCTGCTGTGTGATTGTAAAGCCTTGGACATATGCTCTTCTTTTAAGAATCTTCTTTTTAGAGTTACCCACCATTCGCTGCTCAAATTCCGAAATATCGTCTTGGGAGTTTGGATCCGCGCTCTTTCTGTGTGCTATCTCGCGAGCCTCTTTCATGGCTTCGTACGCGGATGTAACATTCTTGACATCGTTCTCTCCGAAATATTGCGCGGTAAAAACAGGATTTTTGTCTTCGGGTCCTGATGCAACATAATATGGCTGGTTGAAAAACATCTCATGGCAACAAGCAGCACCATCTTCTACTTTGCTGGTGTGACCTGCTACTTTGAGTAGCTCTGGGCATTCTGAGTTTTCTATAATGGCCAACTTTTGGTTGACTGGGCCAGTGGATGTGTCGAAGTTTGGCAAGATCAAATATCCGTCTCTTCTTCCTGTATTATTTGGTATTGGTGCTTGGTAGTTGAAACAAGGGTTTGCTTTAGGTTCTGCGACCTGCGAGGAACTGTAGGAGGACATATTTTAATTTTCTCTTGGAAAACGACTTGGTTCTGGCTTTGTTCTGTTGTTGAAGGTGTGGAAAGAGCTTGAATTAATCACAAGATCTCTCTGAGATTCCTGATGGAGTCGCAAGCTTATTCGTAGAGTCGAGAGAATAGTTACACATTAATAAAGATCTTAATTAAGATGTAGGTTATATGATGAGTTGAGTAGAAGGTTCAAATGTGAATTGTTTAAGTATATATACATGCTCAAAGTTTGGGGAAGCAGTATCGAAATAATAACTGGGTAACCTACTACAGTTCGAGACCAGTTCCATTTGGTCATGGGTCTTTTCTCGCTAGAATTCTAGTACTTCACTTCAATGTTTCAAGATAGTTATAAGATCTATAATAAAGTCAATTTAAAATATGAAAACTGATTATTGAAAGATTGTTTATTGTCTATTTTTATAGAATCGGTAGAGAAATTCAATCATATTTAAGAAAGTTATATATGGGTTGCTGAAATAATTGAATTTAGTATAATAGATATAGCTATGGACTAAATATAAGTACAGGGATGCTATACAGCACTCTCATAGCCATAATCACTATCCGATGAAATGATGATTCCAATGATGAGAGTGAAAAGATGAGGAACCTGCGCAGCCTATCTGAAGAAGGCAGTAAATTTCGAAGTGTATCTTATGACAGAAATTTGCTCTAACGGTTGAGAATTCCATCACTTTGTCAACATGATCTTTTCGAATCAATCCTAAGGGGACTCTGGGTGTCATTCTGAATGTTTTATCTGAAAAACTTACGAATTAAAAAGAAAATTCGAAATCCTCTGCTGTAGTCTTCGAGCTTCCATTTAATTTTTCATTTCCTGAATTTTGAAGCTCAGGTAAGCAACCTAGAGCATCCACCAGTGATCCTGTTTCTTGTTAAGGGATGAGAGAGTTTGAGCTCCGGAGATAACCCGAGTCATCTTGGGCTGAGACGAGCCATCCAAAAACTAGAAGTTATTCACTGGGTGAACTAAATGAAGTTGAAGGAAGGATGCCAATTGGCGCCTCTGTGACATGTGTGAATCCAATTTCAATGCATAATCTAGGTAAGTATGGCTTTTGCAGTTTTGGTAAACTACTGAAAGCTGCAGTCAAGGGCCCTAATAACGGATTTATTGATGGAGTCATTTCTATGACTCCAAATGTTCAAAGCAGACTCAAGCTGAGGTTGAAAGTGGGTGTTGATTTAGACGTGTAGAAGACCAAGGATTATTTAGGAAGCAAGTGCTAGTTAAGAAAGTTGAGAACCCATGGCAAAGCATCAAACAATAATCTTATATCAAACAGAAACACCAGTTGTCAAAAGACAGAACCAAATTCATTGCTTTGACTCGATTAGTGGCAAAACAGCTAATATCTTTCACTTGCAGACAAACCTCTTTGCAGAAAATTGACAAGAAAACAACAATCAGACAAACAAAAGAATAAAAAGATTGACGAAGGAGATTAATTGTTCCATCTCGAAGAATATCCTACTCCGTCATTTGGACTCATGACACTCTCTATTAGAGAACAGTCATCAGTATTTTGAACTCTTGACACTATCGGTCGAGGGACATGCTTATATATACTCCAGATACAAGAATTCAATAGTAAGCATGAGTCAATGATGCGTTAACAGTGTGGGAAGTGTTCAAACAGAAACAAAACGCTCATGGCAACTGTTCAACTTTTGAGTAGTTTCGTGACATGTACAAAATACTAGTAGACGAGGGAAAACAGAAGGTATTAGGAGGAAATATGGTGTGTTAATTCTGACAAGTTGCCAACAATCGAAAGCTAAACACTACTATTAGTGATAATGCATTGCAATCTTCAGAAGACATGTCACATTCATTTTGCACATACTGAATCTTGAGATGAGTGATCATTGGCGACAGACTTTATGTGTAAGGTTATCTGCAGTGACCCTCCATGATCCTAGAAACTAACTAAACAACAAGTTCTATCAATTATTAATTATGAACTCTCCATGTGTCAGATATTCCTATAAATATAATCCCATATCTTGATCTGACACAATCCATTTCAAACGTCTTTTTCTCCAATTGCCACCCGGCGTATATCAAGATTTCTCTCCACAATCTGAAAATTGTGCCTGAAAGTCCTCTTCAGTTCAAACTCTCAATTCCAATCCTCCATCCATTCTTCCCAATGAATTATCTCCCATCATTCTTTGACCATTCTTCCGATGACTTTCCATACAGTACTTTCCTCCTCAAATCGTATCCTACTACCTAATTCGTAGTCTTTCTTCGCTTTCCTCCCTTTTCTTCCTTGACAGCTTCCTGATCCTCTTTGCAGCGCTTCTTCGTAACCCAAGATGATGGTCCCGTCCTATTGTTTGTGTAGACGGCCCCATACTGAGTTCCCTCAACTCGATGCATTTCCTCGAGGCGTGCTGCGAAAGATTGCAAGTTCTGGCCCTGAACAAATCTGATGAGCTCAAGTGGTGGGGAGGACTTAGGTTTCAACTCATCGTGAAGATGAACAATGTTTCGGGCCAACATTACAGCGGGCCATGCATCGTTCAGTTGAGCATTCGAAGGCAGAAATTCATGCGCCGACTGATAGCTCTGTTGAATAATGGGCCAGATACGATAGGTCAATGGCGCATATTGATCAGCGTCAAAAACCTGCTCCATTCTGAAGAATGCAACAGGAAATCCCAGAACCCTGACACCAGGAGACAAGTTTCTCAAAAACTGGAGTCTCTCTTCAAACAACAAGCCGCAGAGATCTTGGCGCTGGGAGAGCATTTGCACAAATACCCAAGACTGTAAGCAGACAGTATCGAACCGATTTTCTTCGTTCATGTTGTGGATAGTAACTGCTACCTGGTCTAGCAACATGCTTTTTCGGATGAGTTCGCAACAGGCGAATGAGTTGGTGGCATGTTTTGGAATGTGCTCAATCAGAATGTCAAGGGCTTTTACTACTGCAGCACTAAGAGGATTGTTTGTTCTGGGGTATGAAGACCCTACACGGTGCTGAACGATGGCATCATCGACAGCGCATAAAGCATGCCAGACAACGCGATACTGTGCGTATGAGCAGCAATTGTCATGGGGGGAGTTCTCACAGCCCATACAGTTCTCTGTGGCACATTCTGGGCATCGGACGATCTGTGGATGCGTGTTCTCATTTGGATACCGGAAAGACTTTGGTGGGGTACGTTTGTAGCCAGGCACCCACAATGATGCTCGCGAGTAATCGAAAGTGAATGCGCACTGTCGGCAATCGATGAAATTGGTTCCTCGAGTCTCTTCGCGCTCAAGTCTCACCATTTCGGGCTCATAGTCTTCAACCATGCCCTGACTTTCACTCTCATCTTCTTCCATACCGTCATTGAATTCCTGCGTAACCGTTAGCAAGAGCACTGTTGTTTTTAACACAAAAGACAAGAACTTACAGTTTCGAAATACATGTCGGCGTCAGTATCAGCTTCAGCAAAACGAGAATAGAAATCTGCAGGTGCCAATGGATATTGAAGCGGCTTGTATGGATCATCCAGAGTTTCTGGGTTCTTCAAACGGATTGTCAAGCTAAATGACAATCCTGGAGCCCGAAGATTTGGTGAATTCGATCTAGAACTAACACTCGTGTTGATCATGGCGGATGAGTCCATCGAATTGTTTGAAGAACCAAAGCCAGTTGAATAGTTCATGATCGCGTGTGGTCAATTGGTACTTGAGGGTAGTTGTTTGGTTTGAGAGTTAAGATGTAGATGTCGAGTGGTCTTTACGGAATCGATGGTTGGTCTTGCGACTTGATTTTTTTGTAGAAGAAGTGTTTTGATGGAGGAGAAAAAAAGAGAAAGAGAGAATGGGAATTTCTTAGCTTAAGTAGGGATGGAAGTACTTACGGCGTTGTCGCTATCGTTGTTCATGGCTGCATCATTCACGATTACCAAGCTTAGCAGAGACCGATCTATGTTCTTGATATCGCGCTCATGTATACGGCTCCCAATTTGTAAGCTCAGGTGAGTATATAATCCTCAATTTTGACAATAAAATCGTGAAAATGACCGCAATATATTTAAGCGAAAATTTCTGTAGAGGCTAGTGTTCTTCATTTTTTCATCAGGTCACGCATATGGCATTACAATTGCCGTACAGCCAATCTATAAGAGCCGTACCTTTGAGCTTTAGATGATTATCGTCTACAGGTACAACCGTACCAAACTTTTAATATCACTATAAAGGCTATATCTCCAATGTATTGCATGACCAATTATGACACGCAACAGCCCGCGAATTCAAACTACGAGAGCGACCGTACCTAGCTCCACTTTTTTGTAATAGCAAAATTGCAGCAAAATACCTAGGTATGCACAGAAATTTTCGCTGGAAATACTCTCAGGGTTATCGTCTCTCGTCTCTAGTCGAGTTAGTCGAAATTAACAACTGAAATTGGTTGGGTTGAAGGCTATGAGCGAAGCGAAACATGAGATAAGGGGCTCGGAGCAAGATCAACACATGTTGCTCTGAGTTTCAACAATATACCGGGGATGGAAGATTCACGGGATTAGTTTGTTACAAACTTGAGTTATTGTTGAATTGGAAGGAAATTTCAAGGCAAGGAGTAGATATTGACCTTCCGGTGATATTTTGCCTGCGTTAAAGGTTTATGTCATATTCATCCTTGATTCTGCGTATTTAAGCCTTGAAGCGTTGAGGCTGAGATCTGCAGTCAGATGTCCTCCCTATGTATTGAGAATATGTACACAGCCACTCCATTCGAGTTGTGCAACATTACATGAAGTTTTCAACCCCACATAATATACATTGCCACGATATTGATATTCTCCCGATTCTACGCAAACGAAGCACTTGGACGGCACACTTCCACACCTATACACCTGGAATCCACAATTCACATTACAGCCAACTTTTCTACTTTGATGTTCTTAATATATCCGATGCTTTCATTCGACAAAATTAACAGGCTTTTGCCAACCGCTCAACAATGGAGATGGTACGGTATTGGTGCCATATCTCTCAAGATGTATGGAAGTCGTACAGTATGGCTTCTACAGGCACAAATCATTGGCGAATTACAAGATGAAGACGCGATTGCATTCAAAAAGATGGCATGCGATGAATGTACCATGATTGCCGTAGCTGTGAGCTGAGCCCGACGTCAAGTCTTCCAAGTACTGATGAAAAAAGGCAGCAATTGTAGCGCAAATTGCTATTACGGGACTATCGCTGGACTCTTTGAACAAGACTCATTGGACGGCAAAATCTTGTTTTGTAATGAGTCTGACCTTTGCCCTTGTATCGGTATACTATTCCGTTACTCAGCAACGAATTCTCGGTCGATTGCTCAAAGCAAAAGACGTTCGTCACTGGATACGAGGGAGGAAGCAGGCAGTCAATCGAATTCTTTCTATGGAAGTTGGGTTCAAGCTTGATCCTTGTGAGCCCGATGATTACTCACCGGAGGACTTGGATATTCGTGATCTCAAGAGGGATTTTGAGAGACAATGTTTCCTCCCAAGCCCTCTATCTGTCATTACCCTTTCTGCTCCTCAGACATTGCTTTCTGGTTCTCTTTGTCTACTTCTTATCGGTCTGGGGATATATCTAGGCAAATTTTGGATTCATGAGTTAGATCCTACTGAACAAGCTACCGATTCGAGAAATGTCTTCATATTATACTTTATCGGGCTATACTTCTCTGGCTGTATGTATGTGGTTTTGGGATGGTTTCATGGCATGGATAAGCGTTCGGAGACAGAAATTATCGATGGTTATATGAATGCATACTTAGCTAGTCACCCTGGTGTGTTGTCTCGATGGGATGTTGACCGTTATTGGTGTTTTCAAAATGGGACTCTGAAGCCGATTTCTAGCACAGAAACCGAAGAAACTCCCACTGTCGTGCAGGATGGGATGGAGGGGATGAATAACGTCTAAAATATTCGTTATGAGATTCAAGATAGGAAGCTTGTGTAGAGCTTTCTAGAATAGGAACAATGCAAAAATTAACTTGACTTCAGTAAGGCGGACAATCAAAACATCCAGAAAAGTTATTGCAGCTACACATGTGATCAAGAAAAGAGCTACTTGCAATCGCAGACACGTGCTTGCACAGACAAACTTCTCAGGGCGTACACCAGCATGTTAAAATCCCTAAGTTCATGCTATTACTCAGGCGTGCGGTTTGAAGATTGCAAATAAACTACTGAAATCACAAGCCTGATCAACCAGATAATCTAATTGCCTCACTCAAACAGTTAAGTTCAGTACCCCACTTTTCGGCCACCCCTCTTTTCGGCCACCTTATAAAATATATATATATAATTTTTAAACTTCAATAATTCAATAATTATTCAACTACAATATAACCTTTTGTAGTATTAGTTTCATATATATTATCGGAGTCCATTCTATCAATTTCATGATCACCGGCTTCGATTTGAGTCTGGTATATAGCCTTAATCTCAGAAAACTTCGAATTTGAACTAATATTAATCTTCTTCTTTTTTTTAAGTATAATATATTCTAATTTGTGTTCTAATTCCTTTATTCGATATTTAGATTTCATAATTTCATAATCCTTAGTATCAAATGCTTTTTGGATTTTTCGAAAGAGTAATCGACAAGCGTATAAGTCTGTTTCTTTTTCAAATTCTAATATTAATATATATTTTCATAAATCATTTGCTTTTTGTGGCGTTTTTTATTGAATCAAAGATGAATCTATATTTCATTGAAGTATAAAATCATCATTTGAAATCGAATTTAGGCTTTGAATTTCTTTATTGTTATTTTCAAGTAATAATCTGGATAAAAGAGACTTAGTATGGTTTTGAGGTTATAAACTTGAAGCTCTTTATTCTGAAGTGATACTATTTAGAGTTAAACTTTTTAATCTTGCTTTCTAATAGCATACAAGAAAATTCCTCTTGCCTATAAATATAGAATCAGATAGTGAACCTAATTTATTAAGCTTATACCGGTATTTATGTTTTAGAGAAGAAAATATTGATAAATCAAAAGGTTGTAGTATATATGATGTATATGGAGGAAGGAATAAAAGGTGTATATTATTTTTGAAATATTTAAGTATAAATTGAATGGTTTTGTAACTTTTATGTCTGTTCAAAACAAGCAATCTAGCCTCTTTTGGGTCAGAAGGGGCGGTTTGAGGAATAAAGACCTCTTTTAGCTATGCTAGACCTATTTCATTGGTAGTCCATTCATTTTCTGTAGCATGGAACTTTCAATCCTTATATATATTAAGCTTAATAGAGAATCATTGTTGTTGAATACTTTTATTCTTATATATAATAAGGGGTAGTAGTACTTTTCTTATAGTAGAGATATACTCAATAAAAGAGGTTCAACTTCTTATGCCAAATTGCTTTTTTTGAATAAAACATCTCTTAGCACTCTCAAGTATTATACCATTCAAGCCCTGGCCTTTTATAATATCAGCTTCATTCATATTCCATTTGTTTTCCGGTTTAATATGGATAATAACCAGCAAATTCAACTTTTCAAAGAACTTGCTAATAATTTCAATAGTAGCACCTGAAACACATTGATTATCGATTCTGATTTGTCTTTTGATTCGAATTTCAGGGTTTCTAAGTAGAAAGTTGTGTATCCATCGTTTTCCAAGTGTAGACTCATTCCCTTTCACCTCAAAAAAGGTTTCGCCAATTTCTCGTATCTGCCGATATGTAGGACTAATGCCCAAAGCCTTTTGAACTAATATCCATTTGATTAATGCTTTTTTCTATATTGAGACTATCTTTTATATATTTTGAACACCTTTTTAATAAGAAAGGTAATCTTTTATATAGCACTAAAGAGTAGTGCAGGGTATTCTATAATTCAAACCAGCTTTTCTGATAATCATACCTCCTGCTATAGCACTAAGTGCCATAGCAATATCATCTTCGATATAATTATTACCTATGATATAATTAACAACATATCAAATTTTTAAATTAATTGATTTAGTGGTTGTTAAATCATTAAAGATTGAAGAGAGGTGGTTGGTTAGAGCGGTGAGATTTATGAGGTGGCCGAAAAGAGGGGTGGCCGAAAAGTGGGGTACTGAACTTAATGTTCAAATTGACTGTCTAGCCGTCTTGAAAGTCGTAGTTTGGCGAATATGTTCCCCAATCTACCACGACATGTCACTCACAACGATGACACTCTGTGTATCACTCATCTCGTAAACTGAAAGTCAAGTGATAAAAGGTTGCCGTTTGCCAAACAAGAAATTGCAACCAAACACGATACTGAGCCTATTAGCTAGGTTTCCAATACATACTTGTGACCAACTATAACGAAAGTAGAGCATAGCATTGTACAAACTGACTAGATAATGCTTGCAACAATACTTTAGACATAACATAGTTTATCAGTGAGTCAATTATATCAATAGATCGATCACTTTTACCTCAAATTATTACTTCAAAGCTATATTATTCAACAACAACTAAATCAATTAATTAAAACTATTAAGAATTTAATAATTTAAAATCTATTATATTATTTTAATAGGTTTTTATATTATAACCTATCTTTCTACATTTACTATAATATTAATTAGAAAATACTTCCCTATTAGAATTTTCTTTTTTTTAACACTTATCACATTAAATCTAAATATTAACCTCTTACTAAAATAATATATCAAAAGTTTTTTATTTAATAAACACTTTTTTTTAATATAATTAAGTTTTTTTATACATCAACATTTATTTAATATTTCATTTACTACTCAAAATATACAATTCTTTATATTTAAAAATATTTTTTTATAAACTAATCTTTTTATATCCTTAACTAAAATTAATATAATCTCAAATATAAATATAAAGAAGCTTATTTAATAACAAGTTATTTAAGATTTAACTAATATTAATTAAGAAAAAGCTTCAATTAAATTACAAAAGATTTGAAAAATCTATTAATCTAAATCGAAAAAGGAAGGAGTAAATATGCAAATTCGAATATCTAATTTCAAAAGTATAGCTTTAAAATTAAATAAAATTAAATCTATTCCTCGAAATCCTAATTTCATATTCTAAAAAATAATTGATTCCTTATATATAACTTTAAAAGCTATAAAGAATTTAATCTTCGAAATATAATTAATATATGCCTTAATAAATTTATCAATTTAATCATCATATAAACGTTTTAGATTATTAAAACAGTCAATATTAAATAATTAAATTAAATGATTTAAATATAATAATAAATATAAATATATAATATCATTCTCTTTATAGTATATTTGAAAAGCTACTAATTCATAACTTTCATGCTTATCCAGTACTAATATTCGATATTTGCTCTTTTTTTAATTCTTAATATGCTTATTGAAGTGTTTTAATCATTCTAAACCTGTCTTATTATTTGTCCACTTATTAAATATAGATTTAATAATTTATTCCATAGGAAGATTGATTTCGATATACTAATTAAAGAGATAGATCTATCTCTAAACCATTAGAAATGAGAGAATAATTTTGTCCTCTTTATTTCCACATATTATTACTATAGTTCATTCTCGATTATCTAATTATATAGATTTACTTCTATTATATCTCTCAGCATTAATAACAATTATTACTATATATATAATTCTTATTATAAAGTCTATTTCATTGAAATTATAAAAATCTCCATTCAAAATGCTGTATTTTACTTACATATTCGCAATTAATTGAAACCACTCTTCAATAAACTTAGAATCCTTATAAAAAGCTTTTTAAAAGTTATAAATACAATTAAAACATATCTTTAATTCAATTCAATATTTTATGAATCAATATGCCTAAAGCTTTCCAATACATTTCATATCCTTTGATTCAAGAATATAATTCACTGTATCTTCTACATTCTTAAATTTAAATAGAAAACCTTTCAAATCTATATTAAAAATATATTAAATAAACACCTCCTCTTCTAATTCAATCAAATTATAACTTTTTAATCAACTTTCAACCATATTAGATTTACCTCGAATTCTATCACCCAATATAATTCGAAATATATAATAAAACTAAGTTACCTTTCGAATTGATAATTTTTTATTTAATTTAATAGCTTGAATAACTAAGATTATACATACTTCTTTAAAATAAATTTTCATAATTAATTATAAAGAAAACGCGTATTAAATATAGAATAATAATTCAAGATAAAAGTGGTCAATCCACTAATATAACCGACTCACTAATAAACTACGTTAAAGCATTTCAGAAATACAAGTAGGGGAATTCGTTCCCCGCCCCATAGATCTAATGTCATTAACTGATTTTATTTCTCTTATTGAAGAAACCAAAGATATTTCAATTCGTGGATAGATCCGTTTTCATAGGCACAGAAATTTGGTTCCGAAGTGCTACGGTCTGGGTCATTCGCACGGCTCTCAAATATTTGATCATAGCACTGTATATCTTACTAACGAGATCTATCTCAACGCGTTTACAAATAATGAAGCCCTACATGAATAGATTCCGGCGATTATTGAAGTTATATGAACCCTCTGTCATTCCGCTGTCCATTTTCGGTAGCCGCACTACATGTTTTATGTAGGCAAAAGTCCTTGGTGAGCTAAAAGAGGGACAACATAGACCTGATAACTCGAGGGCTATCGAGTTCAAAAGCTCGATACTCGCAGAATATAACATGGTTTCTGTGGCTGTTGGTCTCTCAAACTCCATCTACAATTATTTTGATGCTGATATTAAGTAGGCTGCTGTTGTTGCTCAGATAGCCATGACTGGGCTATCATTGGACCTCCCTGTGGTGACAAAGTTAATAATACAGACAAAGAGAAATTCAATATAAATTCCTATATAAATTTCTATTATATATAACAGTATTAATCTTTCTTTTGTTATCAATGAAATGCTAATTTTATTAATAACAAATATTATTGGTATAAAATGTGACTCATTTATTATTGAATTTAAAATTAAAAAAAAATAAGGGCTTTCAAAGGCCTTCAAGATTTTAAGATTTTTAAATATTAAAATTGTAAGAAAAATGAATAAAAGAGTATATATATAAAGATTAAATGAAGATTATAAAGATAAAGAAAGGGAGTAAATATAAAGACTAAAATGAATGAAAAATATTAGTTAAAAGTTTAAAGAAAGGTTTGTTCATTTTTTATATTACTTTACCTTTGATTTATTTTTTAATTAAAAGCTTTATTATTATATTATAAAATATAGAATATATTAAATAAATAATTTGATCTTAATATAAATAAATCTTTTTATTTGAAAGTAATTATTTTAAACTAAAAGTTAGAATTAGCTTTTGAAATTCAAGAAATTCACTAAAACCTTATTAATTAAAATAAGCTTTGTGTTACGACAGACATCACATGACACATTCGCGTGTCACGTGAGGGAGCCTTGGGGAGCTACGGGCTCCAGGAGCATACGGATCCCAGGGGCTCCAGAGGACGAAGGTCTATATAACAGAATGAGTTTCATTATAATATGGAGCTTCGTGCTCAAGAACAATCATTAGTTCCATTACTATAGTTACGAGAATTGCAACCAGTTACCAACCTTATTGAATTCCTACTTGAAGTTTAGTCTAAACCACCTCGAGAGATCTCTAGCCACTTCCACGTGACCCTAGAGGCAGCTCCCGTAACACTTTGTAAACTATAAAGGTTTAGATTAATTATATTAATGCTTTAAAAATGATTTATTCAATATATAATTAAAGAATTGAAGAATTTATTATAATGACGAAGAGTTCACTTCGTTAAGCACTGATTCTGCCACCATAGGGCCTTTCAAATCAAACGAATTTTCTAACAAAGGCCTCTTTCGTCCTGAGCTTGTTATCCGCCGTCCTAGTTGTAATTTATGCCAGCTGCATGCAGCTTACATTCAATCGCCTACTCACAGGGGAAGATATACGTCAATGGGTTAGGGGAATTTCAAGGAAACCGGATGCTAGAATATGGGGTTGGCCAAGCGTATCATCAGTCATCACAGCCTCTGCCTCCCAACTGCTTCTTTTAATCTCGCTTGCAATGTTAGTAGTGGCTTTGGGGATGTATTTGGGGCATTTTGGGACTGCAGAGCCTAACGGCACGAAATGTGTATTTGTACTGTACGTCATTGGCTTCTTATTATTTAGTGGAGTCTATAGCATAGCGCAATCTTTTGATAACGAGGAAGTTCGCTCAGAGATTGTCATCATCAATGGGTACCTGGCCGAATGGAGAACAAATCCCCCGTGTCAAGATGAAGGAAATGGGCATCCATCTCAAACTGCCGCTATCACGGCGAGGGCGGATGACAACTCCGAGTCTGACCCACTACTGAAGAAAGACGCAAGTGGTGGAGAAACTTCATCTGCTATAACCGAAAGTATAGGGCGCAATTCTCCAACTACTCCAAAGTCAGAAGAAAGCAAGTGTAGAGATCAGGCAAAGCACTCTTCACATCAAGATCTCGAGGCAGGGAATTTGGAAAATAGCATCAGTAAAAGTGGCAGCGAGGCTAGCAGCAAGAGTAGGAGCAGTACCAAGGGCAAAGAAAGGGTTGGAAAAGAAGATTGAGTAACCAATAAACATTTCGTCAATCTCAGGTTATGTTGCGATACAAATGAACATACACATGGGAGTACACTAGTGCACTAGCGCATGAACGTATTGAAAAAAGCTCTCGTAGCTCTTGACCTAAAATAAGATAGACACAATACCAATCAATGCATGAAAACTATTATGAAGACGTTGTGATCACCACCGAAGGGATACCAACAGTATCCGATAGCTCAGCCGTGGTTCTTGCCCGCATTCAGTTATTCGGGGCAGGCGTTTTGTTTTAGTTTCCAATATGTTTCGAGACTTCGTTAATCAAGTATTACTAAGATAGATCTACACTAATTTGATATATCCTATAACGATTGCGAAAGCAGCTGCTAGATCCCACTAAGAAGGCCACAAACAAATCCAAACAGATGTACGAAGAGATTTCATCTACTTATTTTCCTCAATATACTTAAATCTACAAAATATATCTAAACCCTCTATTATCAATCTCCGTCATATCCATCATACCCTTTTCCACCGCCTCTCTTTCTTCTTCCTCGCTTGCTTCTCCTCTTGCCGCTTGCTCTGCGTCTCTTTGCTTATTGCTTGAATACATGTAAATGTACAAGACAACAACCATTGCTAACTTGACCGAATAACCTACTAACATTGCTATGTACGCTGAGTGATATCCGGCTTTAAACATGTTAGTCCGCCGATTCACCAGACAGAAGCTAAATATGAGAGAGAGAGAGAGAGAGAGACGAAGAAAATAAAAGGCCCACTCACGAGCTTCACTACTGATAAAAGTCTGCGGCCCAACAATATTCCCCACACAATATCCCGTAAAAAGCACCGCGCCCGTCAACTGTTTCTTCGTATACCCTGCAATATTACTACTCACCATCGTGAGACTCATACTAAAGCCCAATCCTTGAAAGTAGCATAGCCAAAGCGCTACTAATCGTCCCCATTTATTACTACTTGGAAGACCAACCAATAATCCCGCACCGAGAATACAAATCGTGTTGGCGACTATCATAGTAATGCATCTTGAATTCCGGGGGAATTTCGTGCATACGTATCCACCCGCCATTAGCGCGAGGAATTGCACTGCTCCGCCAGGAATTTGTAGGTATTGGGTACCGAGGGTATCGAAACCGAAAGTTCCGACAATGATAGATGTGAAAGATGTTAGAGCAGAATTGGGAACTTGTGCGCCGACAGCCATGACGAACAGAATCCATGTTTTTGGATCTCTAACTGTTTGCCATGCTTGATAGGTTTGGAAATGATGATTCTTTACTCCTTGACGATTAGATGCTACGCGGGAAACGGCAATGAGACGTTCGTGGGGCGTGAGAAATTTGGCTGTGGAAGGGAGATCGGGGAGGAATATTAAGGATATTACACCCCAGAAGATGGAGATGGCTCCGAAGATTAGGAAGACGTACATCCATTTTGGGAGACCGGTGGTAATGTGTCCGACAGCGTAGCCGATGAGACCTCCAAACATGGTTGCGATGCCGTTAGTACAGTAGTAGGTCTCAAGCCGGAGAGGTTGCTCGGCGGAGGTGTACCACATGGACATTAGGAGGACGAAACCAGGGTTTATTGTTGCTTCGACGGCGCCGAGAAGGAATCTATTAGTTGCTATGCCGCCAAAGGAGACGCATGCTGGAGTTGTGATGAGGATTACTCCCCATGCGATTGTGGTTAGAGAGAGGAATTTTCCAATAGGAAGGCGTTGGAGAAAGTAGCCTGATGGAAATTGAAAGAATAGGTAGCCGAAGTAGAAGATCGAGCTAGATACATTGTTAGCATGGCTTGGAAAGTATGATGCAGGGACAATGCATATCGATGTTCTCACCTCAGCCAGGAATACTGTTGTCCTTTCAGATGGGTACCCTTTTGCAACCCATACACACTTGAGAAGTTGATAGAGTTCTTGTCTAGATATTGCAGCATATATGTGATAAAAAGGATGGGCATGAGCCGCATGTCAATCTTTCGAAGCACTCTCTTCGCTTCCTTAGGATCGACCTCGATATCTCTAGCATCTTGGAACAAAGCATAGTTATCATCCAGATGAGCTGCAGCAGCTGTCGATGAATTCTTCACGGCTTCACTTTCCGATTGTACAGGAGAAGAAGTCACATGCTTCTTACCATCAATTGAAGTTGTCATTCTGATATTGAGTTATTGCGAACACAAACTCCAGCAAATCATTCTGCTAGATTTCAAGACTTTAAAGAACAACCATTACAGAGACTTCACAGTGGAAGAATTCAACAGAAAACTATTGCTGGGAAGAGCCACCTCCAAGCCCCCAATATTCGCACACCAAATCCACCATATTTCAGAGCCAAATACCTGGTTTCCCCTCACTTGAGATAGGGAGCCAACCACACATCGCCATATTCAGAATTTCATCATTCAAAGTGAAGCAGAAAGACCGAATACCACATCGATTGATGCGTATCAGAGGTCGCTTCACGGTTTATCTTTGGACGCAGAGAACGGTGTGACACGGAAATTTCCTAATCTGGCAGATGTCGTGATAATTAGTTTGTTTGCGCGATTGGGAAAACATCATAGGGACTTGATTGAACCCACGCGTGGGATGGAGATAATGATGTATGGAGTATTTGATATACCTACTGATTCTAGAAATTCTAGATTCACGACAGAACTTGCGATATGAAAATGATTTCACGACTCAATAGCTTCAACCAGACTACGATCTCAAATACTGTACAATGTGAACCACGAATTGGAGATAAATCACGTGTTCACCACGATCCCGACAATTCAGATCAACCATGTCTTCAGGCATAATAACCTTAGATGTAGCACAAATCCAAGTTCTTCAACTCTGGACCCAGAAGAAGGGGCCGCCCATGGAAGAAACGAAGTAGAACAATAATCTTCATCAATGTCACCGTACCCCTAGATAAACACGAAACCCCAGAAACGCTTATTCCATTACCAGATTCCCATGAAAAAATAAGCAAGCAAGCAAGGAAGCAAGGAAGCAAGGAAGCAAGGAAGCAAGGAAGCAAAGTCGGCCCCCCCCCCCCAAAACCCACCCAGCCCAGCAGCCCAGTCGCCGATTCACCCATCCCACCAAACGGCTTCCTGCATCCCGTCTCGATAAATAACATGTGCTGTAACTTCACAGCATCTAGAGTGCGACTGTACCAGAATTCGGGTTACCGATTACATTACTCAACTACGGTATTTCACTACATGTTCACGACATTTCTATTGCATTTTGCCTCGCGAGTGCAGTTTCGTTTCTGGATCTGTGATCCGTGTGCGTAACTGTCTCCATCTGATCTTCTTGGCTTTTCAATATACCTACATATATACATATATACAAACATACATACATACATGCATACACACACACGCATCCCAACTTTCCCAAAGAACGACTGTGCAGTCATGTAACGAGGTTCCAAGAATTGATTTCCAAGGTCTTATTTTTAGAGATTTCCTGATTATATCATGCTTACATTCAATATGCGAAGAGTAGCTCACACAACATTCCTACTGCAGATTTTGTATTCTTCTTTCATTAGTGTGCAGTGTGAATGCATGCTTCACCGATTATTATTTCATTCCATCTACCTGATCCTATATGCGAGTGATTGTGTGATTGATTGATCGATTGATTGATTGATAATTTGTTTGATAAATCGACAGATAACTATTGGCACTGTTTACGAGGAAGATAATCTACAACCTCATACCTAAAGCGGTGAAGGATGCGAAAGGGAAATGCGATACGAATTCGAGATTATGATTTGTAGATGGCTTTTCTCCTCGTTTGATAATGATTACCAACAATTCGGAAGACTTGGGGAGAGATTGGATGCAGGAAGAGGAACACTGCAGTCAAAACTCGCTGCATTAGCAGTTTCCAAACACGGTCAACGGAATGACTATTTGTTGTTTGAGTTGGTTTCTGGTTTGCATTTCTTTTTCTGTCAAACTAGTTTACCGGTATCTTATCCCCAGCCAGTAGTACTTGTGCTACAATACCTACCCTTCGTACTCTCGTAAAGGGATAATATTTCCAATTTTCTGAATGGTTTGATTTCCAGAGTGAGTAATGTTTCTATCAAATTTTATATTGTGGCTTGCTCGGTCCTGCGGGTCACGAATCCTTCCGTGTCAGCACATGCATACTGCAGGAGAAAGGGAAGGCAGAGTAGGATTTCACTACGCTGCGCACCATCCTCACTCTTTACCCAGTTGCTAATCCCAATGTCCGGGGACCGCCAGAGCTGAGAAAGAGAAGGGCAAAATATCTCATGCGGAGGAGAGGCACAGCACGTGGCGTCATCCTTTTAGGCTTGGACGCTGCGAGATTGGGAGTGCGATACGGCAATGAGGGTGTGGCGATTCGGCGATACGTAGTGTGTGGTGTTATGCTATTCATGTCGAGTACCAGTGACTGTACTATTCTGTACTGGACGGTACAAAAACGCGATAAGCTGCAGCCAAGATGGTGTTACCTTTGATCATATTGATATCGTAATACGTGTATATGGGCATCATCTGGTTTTCAGCAGATATGCGACTACAAGATGCTCATTCGTTCAGGTCGTTTCATCGCAGGTGTGCTGAGATCGGGACTTGCTCGTCATGGAGGTTATATCAGGAACGACATATAAGGCTGTACTTGTGTTTCATTGGTGCGCGGAAGTTGGCCGTTGCCGTATTGGAGTGTCAGATCATGTGAGTTTACATTGCTGCTTTTTGAGTTTTCTGTTCAGTCTGAACCAGTAGGATCTATTACCCGGATGTCTCGGAGCAACTCTCGACGTGGCAGTGTTTTTCCTTTTTTCCCTCACTCAGAGGAAATGTACAAAGTATCTTTGAAATGGCCATTAATAACTATCACCAGAATGGTAACAATTCATTTCATCGTTCTAATCGTTTTTTTATTATCATGTCCCGTGTGGACTTTCTCATGCATGAAGCATTGGAATTAGATTAATAAATAATTCGTTTACCGAATCAAGCGTAACTGCCGCCTTGTGACTCCGTAGGGAGCCGTTGTAGACAAAATATATCGTAACAAGATAGGTCTAGAACTATTGTATGTGGGAATGTATGTGTGGGGGTGGAAATTCAGGGAGCACTCAAAATTGAGCCCCGTTTGTTGCTCTGTAAGTAGATTTGATTATCACTGTACTCTGTAGATAGGGAAGTGGTGGAGTCTTAATCCTCAGACCGTGCCAGTTCATTGGAGCATTGATGAGAGGTGAAGATTGATATCTTGATTCAGATGAAGCGGGTAAGATAATAAGGTATGCATCAAGGGCTCTCGTAAGTTCTTCCGTGAAGCCTGAAAGTTACATTCGGACCAGCTTCCCCCTCAAGCGAGTGTCTAGGATTCGGTATCGGAAAAATATCTCGAGTGCCCCCCTAAGTAAAATATGATAAAGCAGGATTGAGAAAAAGCCATTGACGATGTCTTCAATCTTGGATAAGCTACATGTCCGCAAGTGAGGATTCATGTCGCGAATCATGCGGACGTTGAGAGTTAGTTTGGCCGGTCTCGAGGGCGCTTTACTTTAGGCTCTATCAGACGTCGTCAGAGTCTTCTTTTTGGTTTCGCGACATATCCCGATCTGGCGCCGATCACAATCTATTTGCTCTTGTGCTCCTGTGGAGTTTTGGGTCGAAAGACTCGAAACGATTATCCCGCAACTTGGAATGGAGCTGTTTGATCTTCAATCAATCTATTAGCCATTTCCAAAACACCAAAAATAGCTTCGTGTTTAGACGTGTTCCAACTTAATGTTCTACGGCTAAAAGTACTAGTGCAGCATGATACGATGTTTCTCAAATGGCCATACTCTATTGAGGTATATTCCGTTACATTAGTCATCGTGTTGCTCATCTCGGTCTCTCTTTATCAGAGATTGAAGGACTTCGGAAGCACTAAATAAGAGTGTAAGAAAAGAGATATGTTGCAAATAATATGTCGAGTAATGCATCGAGGTGCACAAGAGTCTATTCGCCACGGGACTTGCCATAAATTCATAAATCCTAATTTCTACTTAGTTACTCGGGTCTCGTGGCGACCCGACTTTTCGTTTGAACGGCTAGATACAGAAGGTGTGTGTTTCCCGTGACCCAGGTAGTAGGTTATTCGTACTTGGGGAGAATTCCAATAATCATTACCGTAACTCAAAATATGATGGAAAGTTCACATGATTTCTGTTCGCTGTAAGGTACAAGTGTGTCCCATCATCCCATGCATATTTGCCATGAGGTTGATATTGACATTTTCCCATGTGGGAACTAATCTAAGTGCAAGCAAGCATTAATGTCGACAAGGAGTTACAAGCTGTCAAACAGGGGCTGGTAGGCAGAAAAATGAAAGTGTGCAACGGTTTGTTTTTGGGTGTCTTAAAACGCATAACAGGGGATGGATTCAAGGAAAGTTTTCAGGGTGTTGTGGCGTCTTCCACCAACAAGCCCAGCAGCTTCCTCAATCCTTGTGATAAATTTCCCATGCAAGCGCACAAACCAAATCGTCGTTTAATCGTACAATGGAGTAGGGATATGCAATCAGAATAGGCGTTGAAGAAATGACGGGATGGTTTCCTTCTTAGCAGGAACTTTTGCCGTTGAGTTTCGGGGAATGCGCGACTTCTTTGCCTGATTTCTTTATTGCTATTGGTCCTATTGTTGTTTGAGTCAAAACGTTACTTCGTGTGATTACGTGCCACAAGGGCGCATACGGAATTTACCTCGGTGGCATGATGGCATCGGACCTGAGTCCCAAAAGTTCATTATGAATGGCTGATCATGAAGAGACTATCAGCGTAGTTGCGGCGTTAATGTTTAGTCTATATCCGACAGAAAAAATGTAAGCTTTAATAGTGAGTGTGTAGAGGATAGAGGATGCTTGAAAATCAAGATCCACGATCGCCATTCCCCAAAGAAGTGTACCGTGGCCCCCCTTCCCTCCCGCTCTGACATGTCATGTTGGTGTGAGATGACAATCCTCGAGGGGAGCTCATTTTTACCGCGGTGTAATTCTCCGAGGCAGCAGGGCAAAAGGACAACGGGCAAGGCTTTTGAAGGACCTTGAGGGTCTACAACCCCAACGCAAGCACCCCACGAATGGTTCACGATGCCGGTACTGGGCTCTTCAGCCTGGGAATCTACCATGGATTAGAATAAACTTAATGGCTATCAAGATCCATCTTTCCAACGTCACTTGGTGTGAGCCTCAACATCTATCACTTATGTCGCGAACTCGGATTCTATCATGACATTGCATTCATACTTTCAGAATCAAGTGAAGGCGGTAGAAGATATTGTTTTGCGCTGCTCCGGGTAAAACGGTCATGACTAGGATATTGATTGGTCATGAAGGTGGTCCGGAAGCTGGAAGGCATCTCCACACGAACTTGAAAGAGAGCTTCCAAGAAGGAAAGAAAAGGAGATATTGGAGTGGGTGCAAATGCAAGAAGGTAGCAAGCGAATTGAATAGCCAGTCTCATTGGTAGACGGCGAGACCGAATTTTGTGATAAAATTACACTCCCCCTTCATCATATCTGAACATTCGGCATTTCAATGAGCGGGTGAGAATTAGACGTTGCATGATTACTGCACCAGCTCACCGTCATTTTGAATTGTACATGCGGAATTTTCCCTCTGCTCGTTTCTTTTCTATTTGCACAATGACGGAATTTTGACAATGAATTGAAGACAGATATCGGTCTCCGGACTTTCTAGGTACTAGAAATCAACGGTCGAAACTAACTTCCTCGGCTAGCATTAGATTAAACCCTTTCTAGTCTACGTGATGTTTTGGTAGATTCTTAATCAGAGCTAAGGCTTTAGTGCAGAGTAGAGTAGCCTAGATGGAAATTTATGAAAGAATAGAAATTGAAATTTTCTCTCTGCTCGAGCCTTTTCCTTTTCATTGCGATTTTATACACTCGCACCCGAGAATAGCAAACCATCGGCACATCGAATCATCACTTGCTCTGAAGCGATTATACGTGATTCAAACATACGAATAATATCATGAAACTTATTCCAAAGGCTCCTCACGAACCGAAACAGATCAAATGTCACCACGGTCTGCCAAGGAAGCAATTCCAACATTTTTCATGCCATCTCGTACGACTCTATCCACAACGATTAGCCTTTCAAATCCTACCGGTGTTGATCACGTCTCTCGATTGACCGAATAGGGAATATCTCCGATGCAAAGTTGCGCGGCCTTTTGATGGAAGAATCGAGCCGCTGGACAATCAACAGAGTTGTTTCGGATAGTGATAATGTGGCTTTTTTGTAATTGGAGTCTGCAGTTCGTACTGGAATCGTTCATGCTTATTACCGGTTTTATTTCGAGGAGATTTGCACCTCTGATGGTCGAGTGATCGAAATGTTTGGTTTGATACTAGAAGAGGTTTAAATTTGGATGTTGGTGTCATGCATTCATGCTAATATGTACTCGGCAGAAACTTTATCGAAAAGCCTTTCCTTTCTCACGAGTTAAATAGATTGCGATAGTAATAGATTGTCATCAATGTCAACCATTGATTGGATGACGGCTCTCAACTTTTCAAGAGTAACAGGACTCGATTTCAGATTGATCGATTGTGTCGGCATACTGTGATTCCAAAGATTCTTACCGTCTTTTGTCTCTTGTCTCTTGTCTCTTGTCTCTTGAGTCTCGCTCGACAGGACAGGACAGGACAGGTTCATTTGATACGCAGTAGATGGGAGTAGTTTGTTGTAACGCAAATTGGAAAGAGTAAGAGCATTCGTGAAAGTTTATATTGTAGTAGTTGATGAGCGTGTTGATAACGGATTGCCCCTAATGCTATTTCTCTGCCGTATGCTGGATATGACTCTTCGTCCTTTCGCACTCACTCACTTCCTTCTTGATTCCACTCCCCTTGTCAACCAATTTCCTCCAAAGTCTATCACAACCCATGATCCTGACACCGTTCATCTCCATTTTCTTTCAAGGTTGAAGCTGCAAACACTCCACAGTTTACACTACGATTACCTCTAGTGAAGCGAGCACACCTTCATCGTCTCTATTCATCCCTACGTTTTCCCCTCAGATCTCAGCCCTCTTTGCTTTGAGCCCTTGACCTTGCTGGCCTTATAAGTTTGAACCCAAATATCTGGACAACAATCGATCATCCCAGTTTCCAAGCAAAAGCCCGGCACTGCACTTGTCATTTGTTGACAGCTACAACAACCCAGCCGTGTAAGTCAAGCTTTTTCTGCAATCGACGACAAGGATCTCCATCACAAACGGGTGTAATTGCAATCCATGCTTCCGCAGAGAACCATTTGGCAGAAAAATAAATTATTGATCACCGCCTTTTTGGAATAGCAAAATTGAAGCTATTCGGAACAACTTGATATTGCGAATTGGCTTCCTTGCGATTGTTACAAGTTGTGGAATTTGATTGGTGGTATTCAAGAGGAGTTTGAATTGTGAGTAACTTCAATCTATCACTTTTGAATACGAACATGTTAGCGTTATAGTTTTGACTGATAGTACTTCAGTACTTTGAGAAATAACACCATAAGAAATAAATCATAAGGGCATTGAGCACCTATCTAACCAGTCGAATTCGTACCTTCTGGATTCTTGATGTAAGTTCTCCAATCTGATCCAAGGCTACAAAACTTTTGAAATAAGATTTTCTCATACAATGACAATAGCTTCAACAATCAATCATATTCTAACTTACTATCGGGTCAAAAAGAGTGAGGTCATTGCACTCTGTACTTTGACACCGATATCAATAGTTTTATTCACACACGGTCTCGTCCTCGAACTTCGCCGTACCACCGTTGTATTAATTATAGGTATCGAAAGGTGAGATGCAATGAATTTTTTCCTCTTTCCCTACCAAATCTCTGCAATTCTTCAAGTGGAGTGAATTTGTCGAACGCCTCCTCCACATTTGATAAGAAGCGCGTCGCAGGCACACACACACAGCTTTATTTGATTTTAGCGATTCTTACCGGTAAACCACTTGTATACCATCACCTCGACCTCGCGATATTTTCATCCTTGTGCAATGTGCTCGGGTTACAAAAGAGTCACCAACTGTACAACTTATCAACGTGGTATCTCGTACAAAAGAGAAGACGCGCCGTTTCGAACCATAGCGCAGAGGTGACTTTTCTTGACCGCAATTTATCAAGCAAGATTTCACTCCAACAAGAACAAACTCTTCAACAAAACACCTTTCCAGATTGACTTTTGCGATCGTTGGTACCAATTCTTTCCGCTGGCTAGCTGTATGCGCACTTCACACAGATGCTAACCTTTCGTGTTACCCAGACTCGATCTACCAAATATTCCCAAAGATTAAGATACCCCAGTCGACTACTACATACCCGCCCACGATCTTCAGCGGCAGCCATCCACCCCCGAGATACTCGACGAGCATAAACTGTAACCATTCACCTGGAACTTCGGTCTGCGTCTGCAAGCTCGGTTAGACCTTTGATTTCATTGGGAATTTTTCCAACATCGATCGAAAATATCGAGAGCAGGAAATCGGAAATCGGAAGATCGAAAATATAAAAATAATCATTGGGAAGAGCTAAACGTGGGAATCATTGCACGGCGCATTGCACACACACATCTACCTACATCTGCAATCAATCCCGTAAGTCGATTTCTGTTCATCTTCCATCAAGGCATCCATTCCAAGTATAAGCCATTTTTGAATTGCTTTCGGGACTCCCTCAATTAATTCGAAGATCCTCTTACCGCCACAGATCAATATTCAATATTTCGTAGCTATTTCGAGGACCAGTTTGCGATAAGAAAATCCATCGAATTCTTATCGGTGAATGAGCAGGGCTGCCGTCCTTCAAGGGCATCATTTTACATGGGATAGCTTTCTAACTAAAATCCTAAAGGCAACCAACCATCCACCATTTAAAACTTTACACCCCAGCGGTACACCTTGGCCGCACCTTCACAGTCACCAGAATTCTTTCGATAGAAAATCCTACGAGTAAGTGTTCTAGATTGAACTCTTTTCATTCTCTCCACCCCCCAAATGTACTGTTATTGAACCATTACTGCGAGGTGCTTCTCATCCTTGCCTCTCTCTCCACCACCACCACATATTTAGGCGAAGTGTCATCCGCTTGCAAGGCCTGTTGCAGATGACCAGCTTTATGTCCCTTGTATGGGTTGCAACCTTTTCCACATTTCTAATCACGATGTTGAATCTGGCCGTCTTTTGTTTACCAATCGATCGACCCATGTTTCTATAATATATCTCTGTCCATCCGCTCGCTCTTAGAAGACCTAGTGTTTTACTACGGTCATCGCTGTGCCTTGTTCTTCCACTATCAGCCTCACTCAAATTGTTGCGTCATTATCGGATTTCTAGTTCATCCATACTTTGTATTGTGTTGTACGCATGCAATTCATTTGTTCGCAGGCTCTCTACTGTCAATATTCCTTGGAATATAACTAACATGAGAATCAGGCCTTTAAATTCATCATAGACTTTCACTATCCTACCTTCGTCCTTCATTGACAGTGTAAGTTCCAATATTCTTAATGTTCTCAGCGTCAAACTATCTCTCCTGTGGTCCAGTGACTACTAGATGGACAAGGCCCCTCGCGTACCCCAGGAAGCGTACCCTGCCAGGAGCATGTCTAAGTTGCGCCACCAAACCCTGCCCCGTCTGAATCCTCTATCCACATCAGCGATCTTGGGACGGACATCGTCGTACCGGCCCATATCATTTTACAGAACAGGCGCATCAGCTGCTCTGATGTATTTCGGGCTCCCATTGAATTGCCTAGTATTCGCCAGCCTCGCCAGCTCCAAAGACTCGACAGGAACAGAAAATCAATTGATTCCAGTCAATCCCCGGTTTGAAGGTCAATTGAATCAATTATTGATACCCACTTGCACCGATCGTATCATCCTTCTCCGCGTCTGTAACCTATTAGGTTCATCGCAACTGGATCTACGTACTCGGGGAATTCACAATGGGGCAACTTGACGTTTCTCTTCCTTGCATAGCCTCGCACTATGGATACAATCTATTTTGACGATCGCATTGAAGTGGCATGAGACAATTTGAAATGGGGATAAAAGCTAATATAGAAACTTGCAGAAATAGCGATCTACACCATACACGGAACTCGTTTCATATCCCACCCGTCGAACGCGTCAACAAACCTTCGAAACTTCACACCGAATCGTCCGTTACCCGTTAAATGTAAGTTGGACCCTTTTTCGCTATGTTGCAATCTTGCACCTAAAACGGATGGTGCATGGCATCGCATGATATGAATACACTGTTATTCATTGCTTTACATGAACAACCATTTCCTAGTATTATTTTTCAACGGTTATCTTTAGGTGGCTAACGATCGAGTGCTAACTGAAATAGACGTCACCCGCCAAAATGTCCCATCGTCAATACAAGGAAGAACCTGGAAATTCAGTGAACAATGAACACGTAAGTACACAATCTACTGTGATTTTGACTTCGTATTGCATATCCGATGATCGATCATATTGAAGTTAAGATTTATGCGCTGCCTCGTTTTTCCCTCTTGATATCTTTCTAGAATTCGCAAGTTGCACTTCTTTAGATAAGATTACAGGGATAAGCCTCCTCGTTCATAAAAGCAAGCAAGGAAGTATGGCTTCCATAATTTTCCAGAACATAAATTTAGCAGGATTCGAGTAAATTGTGGATTCGTAGGCTCGTTTCACAATGAACAAGGGATCTCGTTTTCAGCTACCCAATCCCACGCGAAGAAGGTGCAAAAAGTTTAGTTGGTGGTCGAGTCTGTGTACATTTTCTGCACGGCCTTTCAGCCATTCGCTTGACGGTTAAGATCAACAAAAGACAAGGTGCTTTTAATCTCTGACTGACCATGTTGGGTTGGTGGGTGGAACCAATCAAGCCTTCATTTTTGATTGGTCGACTGACTTTGAATGGAGATTGTAATGTTGCGCACGTATGCAGCTAAAAGTTTATGTAGATCAAAAGATTGGTGTGTACAAGCGGCACCTGATGGTTTCTGAATTCCTCTAGTGTGTTCTTTCATCAGCCTCTGAAGTCAATTCTCAAGATGGTTGTGTGGTTGATTGGATCCAAGGATTCGTCCTTTTCGTCTCTCATATTGTATTGGTTCAAGTTGGCCGACGCAAAAACAATTATTAGGAGGAGGATTATGAAAGCATAAGCAGGATATTCATACTAGGCTGCAGGAAGTCTCAAGGAGACTTTGGTATAGTGGCTTGCCAAGGTTACAGCCCGGCATCAACAACGGATGGTCTCTTTTTATGCTTCCCTCTTCCATTCCACCTTAAACCTTCTAGTAATATTCTGACACACGAACTAAGAAAGGAAAGTGCCTTTTAGCTTTTTAGCTTCTTAGTCGTGAGTCGTAATCTTTATATTATTATTCGGTAGTAAGATTTTATTCTTTCATTTTCTCCATGCAGTTTGCACATACTATACGTAACAATTTTCCCTGCACCACTCGCCTCATTCTCCCAAATGAGTCAAGTAAGTTGGTTCTAGAAAATTATTATTATTTATTCATGTATGGTACTGCGCAAGTTCATGTGGCTGGCCCCACTTTCAATTCTCAAGCCCAACATCCTTTGAAAACAGACTAGTTGCCTCCACCCATACACACCGCTGTCTTTTCAGGGCCAAACGAACCGAACCTGGCCCGGACCATTTTTATTTCATTTTTTCTTTCCTTGTGCACTTAAAAAAAGATGTTATAAACTGTAAACATCAACCCCCCACCTCCTTGCCCCTGGCTACTTTCTCTTCCCTAAATTCTATACCCCATCTGGTCTCAATACCTTGCAACGTCCGCGCACCTTTTTACATTTTCATGCGATATTACCCTTGTCACGTTTATACCATGCGTTGTCCTTGGTTCCACTGAATAACTTACATTTCCGTTCCCCTTGCCCTCTTCCACAT